CTACATTTTTTAAGCAGTAGCTGTAGTCAGTAGCGAACTACCTTTGTTCAAAAGTAGCAGTAGTTGTAGCTGACTACATATTTTTGAAGTAGCTGTAGTTATAGCGAACTACAAAAATTTTGTAGTCAACCCACCCTTGCAAATATTTAAAAAAAAATGAATATAGTCTTAACCAGGTGGAAAGGTATATTCATTAGCTAGTTTTGAGCACGTGACATAAAAGATTCTACTCTTAATATCATTTGTCGCAATCAGAAAGTACAGTAGCGAACAGGCGGCAGAAATAGGACAGATCCCAACTGATATCGCTACCTCCTACGTTCGTATTTACAAAATAGAATATTACAATTGATATCTAAAGACAAGTATATACAGAATACTTTAATATAGTACAACAAGTATAGGCTAGCTATTCTTTGTGGGAATGTACATTCAATTTCTAATTTTTGTCTATAAAGATTAAAGATAATGTCATGCATTTTACATTTATAAAATGAAACACTCTGAATATTAACATCTTGTAAACTCAAGATTTGAGGTATTTAAAGTGCCTATGACACGAAATTTCACCCCAAAGGTTTACGGTTGCATTGTAAAGATCACTTAAAATGACTTAATAATTTCTTTTATAGAATTTTCAAAATGTCATTATGCGATGTGAAGTCACATCGGTGATATTTGCATATGAAACAAAGTTTAATATCTTGCAAAGGAAGCAAGTTACCAAAATTCTATAAAAGAAATTACTAAGTCATTTTACTGTAAGTGATCTTTACAATGCAATCATAAACATTTGGGGTGAAATTTCATGTCATAGGCACTTTAAAAAAGATCACAAAATTCAACAAAGTCAAAGGTAGTATTTTGACTTGAAGATAGTGACTTTGACGTCACAATTAATACAAAAAACCTGGCTTCATTCCTTCAATTTATAAATACTAAAATTTAACCTGAAGTCTGAAGCTTATCCGCGGATAACCGCGAGCTGTTCCCGGTTAGATCTAAAAGTAAATTTTATATTCAATTTGATATAAATTTTATATCGAATTTCTATCTGCAAAAAGCCTTTACACTTTACTTAGTGAGATGTCCAACTGAAACCCTGATATTCATTCGATAGACATACTCCCCGTTTACACTACGCTCAATTTTTGGTACCGTATACCACTTTTTGGTTCTTGGACTACCTAAATAGGTAGTCCAAGAACCAGAAAATGGTACGGGTACCAATTTTATCCGTGCCGTACCAAAAATTGAGCGTAGTGTAAACGGGGCTTTAGTAAGCCCTTAATATACTCTTCCTCTGGGACATACCTGATTTAGGGACGGACCATTAGAAAAGTGATTGGGCTGCCTCGTTCCCTCGTCGCTTCAGTTGGGAATAGAGATCAGTGGAAAAACAATGGGAGCGCGGGGCTTAATGGGAATGACGGATGAGGGACTGTGGAAGAGTCAGGGGGGGGGGGACATTTCCAACCTGTACATTATTTTTTCAAAATTTCGTCGATAATTTTTTTTGTGTCGATAATTTTTTTTAAATCATCCCTTGCTCGAATTATTTTTTCTGAAAAGTGTTGGCGAGGGGGACTTTTTCTCACACCATTACTTATATCAAAAAAAGTTTTATTTTCCAAATTTGGGGGCCACCCTTACACAACTTATAAGTTTTCCCTATTGAAAAGTCTCTGCACGAATTTTTTTTTAAACTTTCGTGCTCGAATTTTTTTTTCTGTTTCCCCTGCTCGATTTTTGCTTTTGCCCCCCCCCCCTCCCCATCACTCTTCTAATGGTCCGCCCCTTAACAAATATAAAACATTTTCCGTGTTG